GGTCCCACAGATCTCTATATATGATCATGAAAATAGGAAACACCATCATGTATAATGGGAAGGTTCAAATTATTCAAATTAGGCTTGCCATAAAGCCTCCTAACAAAGAGTGATCCTAGTTTTAGGTGCTGTTTAACTTGGCTGAAGTGAGGAAGGGTTGTTGTCATACTGCATTCCTCCCAACTTTCTGGGACAAGGAAGAGGAACCCTTTCGAACGTAAAGTATGTAGGCAAAATGGCGCACCCCCCAATTATGTGGACCATTCGGGCTTTCCATAGTACATTTGTACAATGGTCTTTACATCAGACCAGAAAGAGGGTCAAAAGAGGAGAAAGGAGGGACAGAGGGTTTTGGTTCCAAAAGATGGACAGTGCCCTATAATTAGGGGCAGTTGGGAGCTTTGATACAGGGATATTTGCTGACTTGCTTGAAAGTCTCTCTACAAGTGGGCCAGGTTCTTTCCAGAGCTACCAAATGGAGGCAAAGATTAACGTACCCCATTTCCTGTAAGTCAGACTTTCCCTACCTTCTTGCCCCGGAGGAACCCTTGAAAAATGTCTAGGAGCCAAGGAATTCTTGATAAATCCAATGTATTGGTAGTCATTGGAAAATTGCCCTTTGCGTTGGTGGCTGGTGGGAAGAATGTTTTCTACAGTGGTGGTCAGATCGCCACTCTTACAGAGAGCTTACAAAGATCATTGTAGATAGTTCTTTCAAGTGGCCTTGCAGGTACCATCAAATGGGAGGTCAGTTAGTCATAGATCAAGGAACCCCTAGCAATCTCTCGGGAACCCCAAGATTCCATGAAACCCGGGTTGAGAATGGCTGTTGAGAATGAGTTAGACCACTACAAGTCCAAGGCAATTTGTTCCAGAACAAGCAAGCCTCTCCTTTCTTTCATGGAGGCAAGGATTAACGTACCCCATTTCCTGCAGCAAATCAGACTTTCCCTACCTTATTACCCAAGAGGAACCCTTGAGTAATGTCTAGGGGCCAAGGAATCCTTGATAAATCCAATGTATTGGTAGTCATTGGAAAAATGCCCTTCGCATTGGTGGCTGGTGGGAAGAATGTTTTCTACAGTGGTGGTCAGATCGCCACTCTTACAGAGAGCTACAAAGATCATTGTAGATGGTTCTTTCAAGTGGCCTTGCAGGTACCATCAAATGTAAGGTCAGTTAGTCACAGATCAAGGAACCCCTGGCAATCTCTGGGGGAACCCCAAGATTCCATGAAACCCGGGTTGAGAATGGCTGTTGAGAATGAGTTAGACCACTACAAGTCCAAGGCAATTTGTTCCAGAACAAGCAAGCCTCTCCTTTCTTTCATGGAGGCAAGGATTAACGTACCCCATTTCCTGCAGCAAATCAGACTTTCCCTACCTTATTACCCAAGAGGAACCCTTGAGTAATGTCTAGGGGCCAAGGAATCCTTGATAAATCCAATGTATTGGTAGTCATTGGAAAAATGCCCTTCGCATTGGTGGCTGGTGGAAAAATGTTTTCTACAGTGGTGGTCAGATCGCCACTCTTACAGAGAGCTACAAAGATCATTGTAGATGGTTCTTTCAAGTGGCCTTGCAGGTACCATCAAATGGAAGGTCAGTTAGTCACAGATCAAGGAACCCCTGGCAATCTCTGGGGGAACCCCAAGATTCCATGAAACCCTGGTTGAGAATGGCTGAGTTAGACCACTGCAAGTCCAAGGCAATTTGTTCCAGAACAAGCAAGTCTCTCCTTTCTTTCATGGAGGCAAGGATTAACGTACCCCATTTCCTGCGGCAAATCAGACTTTCCCTACCTTCTATTCTTACCCCAGAGGAACCCTTGAGTAACGTCTAGGGGCCAAGGAATCCTTGATAAATCCAATTTATTGGTAGTCATTGGAAAAATGCCCTTTGCGTCGGTGGCTGGTGGGTAACAATATTTTCTACAGTGGTGGTCGGAGTGCCACTCTTACAGAGAGTGCAAAGATCATTGTAGATGGTTCTTTCAAGTGGCCTTGCAGGTACCATCAAATGGGAGGTCAGTTAGTCATAGATCAAGGAATCCCTGGCAATCTCTGGGGGAGCCCCAAGATTCCATGAAACCCGGGTTGAGAATGGCTGTTGAGAATGAGTTAGACCACTGCAAGTCCAAGGCAATTTGTTCCAGAACAAGCAAGCCTCTCCTTTCTTTCATGGAGGCAAGGAATAACGTATTCCATTTCCTGCTGCAAATCAGACTTTCCCTACCTTCTTACCCCAGAGGAACCCTTGAGTAACATCTAGGGGCCAAGGAATCCTTGATAAATCCAATTTATTAGTAGTCATTGGAAAAATGCCCTTTGCGTCGGTGGCTGGTGGGGTAACAATATTTTCTACAGTGGTGGTCGGAGTGCCACTCTTACAGAGAGTGCAAAGATCATTGTAGATGGTTCTTTCAAGTGGCCTTGCAGGTACCTTCAAATGGGAGGTCAGTTAGTCATAGATCAAGGAACCCCTGGCAATCTCTGGGGGAGCCCCAAGATTCATGAAACCCTGGTTGAGAGAATGGCTGAGTTAGACCACTGCAAGTCCAAGGCAATTTGTTCCAGAACAAGCAAGCCTCTCCTTTCTTTCATGGAGGCAAGGATTAACGTACCCCATTTCCTGCTGCAAATCAGACTTTCCCTACCTTCTTACCCCAGAGGAACCCTTGAGTAATGTCTAGGGGCCAAGGAATCCTTGATAAATCCAATGTATTGGTAGTCATTGGAAAAATGCCCTTTGCGTTGGTGGTTGGTGGGAGAGAATGTTTTCTACAGTGGTGGTTGGATCGCCACTCTTACAGAGAGTTACAAAGATCATTGTAGATGGTTCTTTCAAGTGACCTTGCAGGTACCATCAAATGGGAGGTCAGTTAGTCATTAGTCATAGATCAAGGAACCCCTAGCAATCTCTGGGGGAACCCCAAGATTCCATGAAACCCTGGTTGAGAATGGCTGTTGAGAATGAGTTAGATCACTGCAAGTCCAAGGCAATTTGCTCCAGAACAAGCAAGCCTCTCCTTTCTTTCTCAAGGATATATCTCAACACAAATACTATAAAACCACTATTGTTAGTGTGCTCAGACGTCTCAAGTTTCTGGCATGTGATAGAAATAATCTGTTGCTTCATTCTCTAGCACCATGTAATTATGGGGTAAAATGGTCCCGCCTATTGTTAAACTGCTGATTAACTGGCATTCCTGTGTCTTCGTACCTGCCATTGTTGAGCTGCTAGCAGATCTCTGCGATGATATTGTAGACCGTGGGACAGATTGCTGTGACTTGTAGAAATGAACATCTCAATTTGACCCAATGTCCACAACTGAGGTTTACCAAACCCGGAAACATCCGGCAGGTTACTGGCCAGATCAGATTGCGTTGGACCTAAATTGTTGATAACCAGCTTATGGGTTCAGGAGATCACGTGAGAACTTTCTTACTTTACATGAAGGCCTCCATCGACCCAAGGGGAGGGGAGTTCTCACCAGTGGGGACACAGGCAACAATAAAACCCTGGAAGAGGTTAGAAAAATCCTTCTATCTAAAGCTACAAAAAAACAAAAACGAAAAAACGTTTTTGGTTAAGATCTGTTTAAAGTGTAAGGTCAAGGGAGTTGGCCAACCAGAGAGTGACATCTTGCACATCCAACAGGCAAGTTCTCACCATTGATAGGCTCAAGAGGGTGCCGTGGCCCTTACTGTTAGGGTGAAGGGTTAGAGATAGGTTAGGTGTTCTGGGACACTGTTGCCAAGCATTTAGTTTTAATATGTTTTCTGCACCAAAAGCCCCACTCCTAGTACCTTCCTACTGCACAGACTTCCCAACAACCCCGGATTCCACTGGATTGTCCCAGGATGTTGGCAAAATTCCAGTGTCCTACAGCCTCGACCCCAGTTTTCTGCTGCCAGTTGGGCGCTGTTATGCTTATTCCATACAGATGCACTAAGATTGAGGCAGCGGCACTGGGCGCAGAATAAGGAGAGGTAAGTAATCCACTGACACCAGTGTCCCCAAATGACACCAATGTCCCCCACTGACACCAACAACCCTCTCTGACACTGATGTCTTCCACTGAATATCAATGCCCCCAAGTGTCCCCCACTGAGACCAGTGTCACTTACACCAATATAACCCACTGACACCGGAGTCCGTCACTTACACCAATGTTACTCACTGAACATCAATGTCCCCCACTGACACCAAGTCCCCCTTAACTGCACTGAGCACTACTGCCAGTTGGGTGTTGTTATGTTTATTCCAGTACCTAGCTTTTGCTGAGTGGGCTCCTTCCCAAAAGAAGTACTATAGTTCCATCCAGGGGCGGACTCACCATTTGGGGTCAGTAGGGGCCCCATGAGATGCCCCTGGTACCTTTTTCATGGGCTTTTTTGAGTTTGAGTTTTTGAGTTTGGGCAAGGACACAGGGGCCACATCATCCCCTATTGCCCGGGGGCCCCATGAGTTGTCAGTCCGCCCTGGTTCCAGCAGATTGAGGCAGCAGCATGGGACGCAGAGCAGGGACAGGTAACTACTTCACTGACACCAATGTCCCCAACAACCATCACTTACACGATGTCCTCCACTGAATACCAATGCCCTCAACTGAACATCAATGTCCCCCACTGAGACCAAAGTCCCTCACTGACACCCATGTTCCCCACTGAAAACCATTTCCCCCATCTGAACACCAATGTTCCCCACCAAGATCAATGTCACTGACACCAATGTTCCTCACTGAACACCAATGTCTTCCACTGACACTAAGTCCCCCTTAACCTCATCAAGCACCACTGCCAGTTGGGTGTTGATAAGCTCATTCCAGTACCCAGCTTTTGCCAGCGGTCTCCTGCCCATCAAAAACACTATAGTTCCAGCAGATACAGTGGCACAGGGAGCCTATCAGTGCCCATCACTGCAGCCTATCAGTGCCTCCTCATGAGTGCCACCTATCAGTGCCCATCACTACAGCCTATCAGTTTCTCCTCATGAGTGCCACCTATCAGTGCCCATCACTACAGCCTATCAGTGCCTCCTCATGAGTGCCACCTATCAGTGCCCATCACTACAGCCTATCAGTTCCTCCTCATGAGTGCCACCTATCAGTGCCCATCACTACAGCCTCAGTTTTATCAGCACATCATTGCCCGAAGGAGGAAAAATTACCTATTTAACCCCTTCCAGTCCGGACACTTACCCCCCCCCCCTTCCAGTCCGGACACTTTCACCCCCCTTCCAGTCTGGACACTTTCCCCCCCTTCCAGTCCGGACACTTTCACCTCCTTCCAGTCTGGACACTTTCCCCCCTTCCAGTCCGGACACTTTCCCCCCTTCCAGTCCGGACACTTTCCCCCCCTTCCAGTCTGGACACTTTCACCCCCTTCCAGTCTGGACACTTTCACCCCCTTCCTGTCCGGACACTTTTACCCCCTTCCAGTCCGGACACTTTCCCCCCTTCCAGTCCGGACGCTTTCCCCCCTTCCAGTCCGGCCGCTTTCCCCCCCTTCCAGTCCGGACGCTTTCCCCCCCTTCCAGTCCGGACGCTTTCCCCCCCTTCCAGTCCGGACACTTTCCCCCCCTTCCAGTCCGGACACTTTCCCCCCCTTCCAGTCCGGACACTTTCACCCCCTTCCTGTCCGGACACTTTCCCCCCTTCCTGTCCGGACACTTCCCCCCCTTCCAGTCTGGACACTTTCCCCCCTTCCAGTCCGGACACTTTCCCCCCTTCCAGTCCGGACACTTTCCCCCCTTCCAGTCCGGACACTTTCCCCCCCTTCCAGTCCGGACACTTTCCCCCCTTCCAGTCCAGACACTTTCCCCCCCTTCCAGTCCGGACACTTTCCCCCCTTCCAGTCTGGACACTTTTCCCCCTATTCCAGTCCAGACACTTCCCCCCCTTCCAGTCCGGACACTTTCACCCCCCTTCCAGTCCGGACACTTTCCCCCCCTTCCAGGCTGAACACTTTGGTGACACTGTACTACTTGTGGGGGGTGATGAAGATTTTTTTTTTTTTTTTTTTAGACTGATTGCTTTTACACCCATAAAGACTGTAAAAGCAATCATTTCTCCTCTCTGGCTGCATTATTATTATTTATTTCAGGTACTTATATAGCTCAAACAATTTACGCAGCGCTTTACATATATATTGTACATTCACATCAGTCCCTAACCCTCAAGGGGTGTACAATCTAAAGTCCCTAACTCACATTCATACATACACATACTAGGGCCAATGTAGACTGGATCAAATTAACCTCCCAGCATGTCTTTGGAGTGTGGGAGAAAACCAGAGTAAAACCCACGCAGGCACAGGGAGAACATGCAAACTCCAGGCAGGTGGTGCCGTGGCTGGGATTCAAACCAACGACCTTAGTACTGCCAGGCGGAAGTGCTAACCATTTAGCCACTGTGCTGCCCCATTCTTGCAGCCATTGAGAAATACTGTGTGAGCTGTGATTGGTCACAGCTTGTCACATGGCTGTTGTGAATAGCCTTGTACCATGTGATCTCTGTGATCATTCACAAATTTCACACGTAGTAAGCAATGATGTCAGCAGTGACATCTTGCTTACTACTCTGCATGTGATCACTGATTGGCCAATCAGTGATCACATGATCGGGACCTCGCACAGAGGTCCCGTACGACGATCCGGAGGACACAGCGGGGACCGGATCACAGTGCTGCGCGCTCCCAGGGGGCGCGCACAAGCAGGGTACGGGCAGGCCGTTTATAAACGGCCACCCAGGGGCGGACTGACAACTCATGGGGCCCCCGGACAATAGGGGATCATGGGGCCCCTGTGCCCTTGCCCAAACTCAAAAAAGCCTATGAAATAGGTACCAGGGGCATCTCATGGGGTCCCCTACTGACCCCGGGCCCTCTGGCAGTGCCCGAGATTCCAAATGGTCAGTCCGCCCCTGCGGCCACCCAACCCTGCACTGCCACCGTCCGGCCGTTTATATACAACGTCCGGAGGGGAAGTGGTTAAAAAAGTTTATAGCAGAAACTAAGAAAATACTGTTTTTTTTCAAAATGTTCAGTCTTTTTTAGTTTGTTTAGCAAAAAATAACAAAAACCCCAGCGGGGATTAAACACCACCAAAAGAAAGCTCTGCCTGTCTCAAAAAAATGATAAAAATGTCATTTGGGTACAGTGTTGCATGACTGCGCAATTGCCATTCAAAGTTCGATAACGCTGAAAGCTGAAAATCAGCCTGGGCAGGAGGGGGGGGGGGGCAGTAGGCGAGGGGTTAATGGGCTATTCAGGTTTCATTTGTTATTTTTGGCTGGAATTCTGTCTAAAAAAAATAAAAAAAAAATAGCCGTCACGTTACCGCCGCGATCAAACAATGGTTTGAAAAAAAAAAAAAAAAGCTGACAAGTACAATGACTCAACAATCAGGAGAGACACAAAAGGTTTTCTGTGGTCAGATCCGTCTGAATCCCGGACTAATGCAGGCCTTGAGAAAAGATTGTAATCCTGTAATGAATGCGATTGCAGAGCTCGGCGACAATGGGCGGCTTGACTGGAAGATTTGTCGGGTGACCCGGGAGAAATTCCAGCTTTAATATTTGGAGGTTTATCCAAGTTACATAAAGGCTCGGCATTACCATAGTCATTCATTAAAAGGTATTATAAATGTTAAAAAAATAAAAATACAATAAAGCTTTTGTTGTTGAGTACATTTCCTAATCTGCTGTAAAAGCCTCCCTATAGTGTCTACTTATAAAAAAAAAACAATTCTGTACGAATGGATCAGCGGTTGCATCAGCCGTTGTAAAAACATCCCCGTAATGTGTCTAATATGTTTATTTCCTATGATCGTGAGCTCCATCTAGTGGCCATAAAATGCAGTATTTTCCTGGATTGCCGCACTCAGAGAGGAGAAGAGAAGGTGATAGGAAGAGAAGAGAAAGAGAAGAGAAGAGAAAGAGATGAGAAGAGAAAAAGATAGAGAAGAGAAAGAGATAGAGAAGAGAAAGAGATAGAGAAGAGAAGAGAAAGAGATAGAGAAGAGAAGGAGATAAAGATGAGAAGAGAAGAGAAAGAAAAGAGAAAGAGATAGAGAAGAGAAAGAGAAGAGAAAGAGATAACGATGAGAAGAGAAGAGAAGAGAGAAGAGAAAAGAAAGAGAAGAGAAGAGAAGTCAAAGAGATAAAGATGAGAAGAGAAAGAGAGGAGAAAGAGAAGAGATGAAAGAGAAATAGATGAGAAGAGATGAATGAGAAGAGAAAGAGATAAGAAGAAATGAGAAGAGAAATAGATGAGAAGAGATGAGATGAGAAGAGAAAGAGATAAGAAGAAATGAGAAGACATGAGAAGAGATGAAAAAAAATAGAAAAGATTAGAATAGAATAGAATGAAATAGAAGAAATTTAAAGGTCTTCAAAAATTCTAATTTTGAATAGAATAAAACAGAATAGAAAATAAAGGGATAGAAAATAAAACAATAGAATAGAATAAAATAGAATTGAAACTAAAAGACTAAAATAGAAAAGAATAGCATAGAAAAGAAAAGAAAAAATTAAATAGAATAAATACAGACATCTTTCGAAATTCAAATTTCAGAGAGAACAGAATAGACTAAAATAGAATAGACTAGAAAAGAGTAAAAAGAATAAAATAGAAAAGAATAGAATAAAATAGAATAGAAAATAAAGGAATAGAATTGAAAAGAAAACCATAGAATAGAATAAATAAATATAAACTTGTTGCTGGGAAAAACGCATCAAAAACGCACTCCATGCATTTCTGCAGCATCTCCATTGAAGTCTATTGAACCAAAACCATAACATTTTGCATTTAAAATGCAGCAGGTGAAAATGCTGTGCAGCCTGACTGCCAGTGTCCTAGCAACCATTGATGTTGGGAAATTCAGGCACCAGGCTCCTAGCATTGCTATGTTGCACCGCCACCAGAGTCATAGCAACCAATGGCACTGTGTGACTCAGCCTCCAGCATATTAGCAATCAAAAATGCTGTGCAGCCTGACTGCCAGTGTCATAGCAATCAATGATGTTGTGAAATTCAGCCACCAGCCTCCTAGCATTGCTATGTGGCACCGCCACCAGAGTCATAGCAACCAATGACACTGTGTGACTCAGCCGCCAGTGTCCTAGTGACTGAAGATGCTGTGCAGCCTTTTTGTAGCTCAGCCACCAGCATCCTAGCAGCCAGCAATGCTCTGCAACCCAGACACCAGTCTCCCACCTCCTAGTAACTACAGTAATGATGATGTATGCGGCACGGCCACCAGCATCCTAGCAACCAATGATGCCATGCAAACCAGTTTTTCGGTGTCCTAGCAACCGAGGACCATGTGTGGTTCAGCTTCCAGCATCTGAGCAATCAACAATGCTGTGCAGCCTGACTGCCCGTGTCATAGCAACCAATGATGTTGTGAAATTCAGCCACCAGCCTCCTAGCATTGCTGTGTGGCACTGCCACCAGAGTCATAGCAACCAATGGCACTGTGTGACTCAGTTGTCAGCATCCTGGTGACTGAAGATGCTGCGCAGCTCAGCCACCAGCCTTTTTGTAGGCAATGACACTGTGTAGCTCAGCCACCAGCACCCTAGCAGCCAGCGATGCTGTGCAACCCAGACACCAACCTCCCACCTCCTAGCAACCGATGATGCTGTGTGGTACGGCCACCAGTATCCTAGCAACCAATGATGCCGTTGAACCCAGTCACGAGTGTCCTAGCAACCAAGGACCATGTGTGGCTCAGCCTCCAGCATCTGAGCAATCAACAGTGCTGTGCAGCCTGACCGCCAGAGTCCTAGCAACCAATGATAGTGTGCATCATCTAAACAAAAAAAGGTGGTGGAAAAATACCTGCCCCAGATGGCGGTCTCCCCTGGCATGGCCCTGGGGGGATCACACACACTCCGGGATTCCTAGTGGTAAAAAGCGTCCGTGTACTTTATTTTCTTTAATCCTTTTAAATTCCCACGCCTGATACAGACATCACGGCTGCGAAATTATTTACCACATTTTTATTGTTTGCAATGGCCACGCTGCTTTCATTATCGTTTATTTGCTCGGGTCAAAGAATCATAAACTAGGTTTATTGTATGATTCCAGACAATGTCGTTTGTTTAACACGCAATTTACATATTAAATCTGAACCCCGACATGGAAGAAAGTCCTACTGAGCTCAGCCTGACGTATCTCACCCTGTACCTGATAGCCAGGAAACAAAATATGAAGAGTACTTATCACCTCCGGGTTCCTGGTCCGGTTGTCAGGACCCAGATGCAAACTTGCAACCTCTGCTCGTTAGCTTTCTGGTCCGGTTGTCAGGACCCAGATCGGAACTTGCAACCTCTGCTCCTTAGCTTCCTGGTCCGGTTGTCAGGACCCAGATCTGAACTTGCAACCTCTGCTCCTTAACTTTCTTGTTTCGGTTGTCAGGACCCTGATCTGAACTTGCAACCTCTGCTTGTTCGCTTCCTGGTCCGGTTGTCAGGACCCAGATGCAAACTTGCAACCTCTGCTGCATAGCTTCCTGGTCCGGTTGTCAGGACCCAGATCTGAACTTGCAACCTCTGCTCGTTAGCTTCCTGGTCCGGTTGTCAGGACCCAGATCTGAACTTGCAACCTCTGCTCGTTAGCTTTCTGGTTCGGTTGTCAGGGACCAGATCTGAACTTGCAACCTCTGCTCGTTAGCTTCCTGGTCCAGTTGTCAGTACCCAGATCTGAACTTGCAACCTCTGCTCGTTAGCTTCCTGATCCGGTTGTCAGGGCCCAGATCTGAACTTGCAACCTCTGCTCGTTTGCTTCCTGGTTCGGTTGTCATAACCCAGATCTGAACTTGCAACCTCTGCTCGTTAGCTTCTTGATCCGATTGTCAGGACCCAGATCTGAACTTGCAACCTCTGCTCGTTCGCTTCCTGGTCCAGTTGTGAGGACCCAGATCTGAACTTGCAACCTCTGCACGTTCGCTTCCTGGTCCGGTTGTCAGGACCCAGATCTGAACTTGCAACCTCTGCTCATTAACTTCCTGGTCTGGTTGTCAGGACCCAGATCTGAATTTGCAACCTCTGCTCCTTAGCTTCCTGGTCCGGTTTTCAGGACCCAGATCTGAACTTGCAACTTCTGCTCGTTAGCTTCCTGGTCCGGTTGTCAGGACCCAGATCTGAACTTGCAACCTCTGCTGTGTCTAGAAGTATCTCTTCTTTCTGAACCTCCTGAGATGCTGGACAGATTCCTTAGACAACTTGACCTTGCATCTGGTTTCTCTTGAACCCTTTGCTCCTCCCATGAACTTACTATTTTAGCCATGCCTTTGTATTTCCTGTTTGCCAGATTATCATGCCCTCTCCAGCCAACATCTCGCCAAAGGTTATGACTGGCCTTTGACTACGCTTCCATCTGATACCATCTCACCCTGTACCTTCTCTGATAGCTGGGAAACAAAATATGAAGAGTACTTATCACCTCCGAGTTTATGCAAGAGTTAAAGTGGACCTGCCATTCAAATATACTTTTCAGGCAACCCTGCTACAGAGATCACTGTTCGCTTCCTGATCCGGTTGTCAGGACCCAGATCTGAACTTGCAACATCTGCTCGTTAGCTTCCTGATCCGGTTGTCAGAACCCAGATCTGAATTGCAACCTCTGTTCCTTAG